CTTAGAAGTCAAAACCACATAGAAGAGGAATTTTATAAATTAAGTCATGCACATTAAAATATTTTAAATAACATATTTTTGTTGAATGTAGAGTATATGTTCTTTATTATAATTTGATGTTAGATAAACTTTTAATATTCAATAAATATGTAGCTTATTTTAGGGCAAACTTTCCAAGATTTTCTCCTCATTCACACATAAGATGAAACCTTAGAGATGTGGGAGGGATTCCTGGTGTTTGAGACCGTGCTATGTGTGGATCTTTCTTTCAGTTCTTCCATCTTCTCTTCTATCTCTTATTTTGTTTTTGCCTTCATGGATTTGAGCAGTTAGACCCATTTTTTGTGGGATTAGATGTAACCAAAATGAACTCTTGTGTAATTTTTACCCTATTAATGATAAATGTTTGTTTCACTCGTTGTTGTATTATGTTTCTATTCATAATGCTTGCTTTGGATTGATCTTTCATTGCTTGATATAGGGTCCATTATGTATTGGAAAATAGCTCTTGAAACTAACTCTAAAACAAAATACCTAGTGAAAAATGTATATAGGAATTTAGAGTTTGGCCCATTAGTAGTCTCAGACCCTAGTCATTAATGCAGGTTCTTATGTTGGATACTCAAGGAATTGATGTTCAACATATGTTCCTAAGCTCTTTCTCTAAGGGATTAGGTTTAAGTATACTTATGAGTTGACTAAACAATGTATGCAATAAGAGAAGAATTAATTGCATGAGAGTAAGGTTTGGTGAAGTCTAACCCTTACAAATCCACAATATCATTTGTCTTTTCCACACACAAACTGTTCAAAAAAATTATCCTTAGAATAGTTTATGTTATTTTCTTTCATACGTAACACAAATTACAACATGAAATTATTCTTTAGTCAATAATAGTTATTAAATACTTATTTTACCTTATCTAGACCTTGTGGATACGATCTTTGATATATTACTTGTATGACCAACATACTTGTTGTGTTTTGGGTTTGTGGTTAATAACATTTATATTTAACAAGGAGAGAAACTAACCTAAAGCGGAATCCCAACACTCCTATATCTAATGTTTTGAATGGTATATATGGTCTTTTTTTCTATTATTTATAGTAGATCTACATCTTGTGAGCCCAAAAATAACTTCATTATGTTTCTTTAATAATATTGATCTTTTCTATCAAAGGTAGGAGGTTTATTTGTTGAGGCTCTTTTAAGGAATGAACATAGTTAGGAGTTGTATAACCATCACTCCTTCAAGATTTTTTCTCCTACACTGTTAAGTGTGCTTAACTTTAGGAGTCAAACTTTGATGCTAATTGAAGTGAATGTTAGAATATGAGGAGGGGACTCAATTGTTTCATTTTAAAAATTTGTTTTTTAATTGGTTTATCGGGAAGTAAGTTGTCTAAGTAAGAATGGTTCTAATGCTTAATATATTTTACTAAAACAATTTATGAGTTAATTCGTTCATGGTTCAAAATATGCATTGATAATGTAGTAAACCAAATAAGCAAGTAAAGAGACGAAGAAAGAAAGCTTTGAACACAAGATTTATTTTAGTTCACCCCAACTAAGTTACATTTAGTCCCTACACTTTTTGATTTTTTCATTAAAAACTAGAGTCAACTATTGCATAGATTCAACCACTTGTTGACACAAACTACTACCTTCACTTGTTGTTAGTAGCAACACTTAGTCACCTATTGAGAAACTTGTCAACCACTTATTGAAAAGGACAACCTAACAACTGCTTATTATGAGACTACAAACATCTGTTTTGATTTTTTCTTCATCTTATAACATTGTACTCTCAATTTTGGTAGAAAATGTTTACAAGACAAGTTCTTGTGTTCTTATAAAGTGCAAATATCACAAGCCAATCTCCTATAATGGAGCTTCCACTTGAATAACAAATATGAGGTGGATTTATTTGAAAGATCAAAGAATGAAACAACAAAGAGTATATCTTGTTGAGCTTGAGTGATTTCTCGTTTTCTCTGTAATTACTTACTTCAAAATGAAATCGTTGTCTTCCTTTTATAGGCACTCAACTCATAGATTTATTGAAGCTTGCTTTGTTTTTTATGTTTGATGCTGACATCATTGTAATTTCTTATATATGTCAATCTTTACAAATAAGGTGTCATTTGAACAAGTCTTTACTTTAAGTCTTTTGAATGAGGTCTTCAAGAAAAGTCTTTTGAGAAAAAAAAAATTAGTTAAAGTTTTCTATTTAGCAACTTGAGATAATCATTTAGTTTCTCAGCATAAACATTGTTATTGAAGTTACTCATCATTTTTTGACATATTATTAATTTTCCTCAAAAGATGTCATGAAATTGATCTTGTAAATATTTTCTTATTCAAAAAATATATCATCATTTAGGACTTTATGATGAGTCTTATCAACTTTTGTTGAAAACACTTAAATAAAACTATTAGCACATTTTTAAATTTGAGATGAAGAATGTCATTATTAAAATCAATATTAATTCATGATTCAATAATATTAAATCATTCCTCACAAAAAAAAAATATTAAACCATAATATATTATTATTTTTTTAAAATAAGAATAAATACATGTATTAGTACTGTGAATATTCAAATCATAAAAACCACATCAATTATAAAGTCTCTAATTATTATAATAAGTATTAGAATATATGTTAGTATTACTAAATATTTTGAATCAAACTTTGTACTTGTATTATTTGTATTATTCCTTAAATAATAAAAATTATATTAGCACCATTCTTTAAAAAAATCATATTTACACAATTGCCATAATTATTATATATAATTATTTTTTCATATAATTATATATAAAATTATTTATTTAAATACCATAAAAGGCAAGCATCTGTTTTTGGATAGTCTATCTGAAGAATGACGAACCAAACAACAGCTTTCGTAGCATGGGCACTCTTGCGTACTGAACAAGAATGTGCTGCTAAGAACCGTGAAACAACTTATAAAATCAAAAAATAACTTTTTAAGGTTCATGTTTAAAAAGATGAGAAACGAATATTATATTAAGAAAATCACACATTTAAACTAAACTTGACTTTGAAAATGTTTCAAAAAAATATCGTGTTACCAAAAACTTGATTTTGAAATACTGATAAACAACTTAATTTTGAAATACCAATAAAAAAATAACTCAACTTTAAAATAAATAACAATAAACAAAGATATATTTATAAAATTTAAGAAATTAATATTAATATTATAATACTCTCTCATATAAATCAATTACTATATATTAAACACAAATAATTATTCTGCAAGATCATTTTTAGATGTTTTTCTTCAATAATAAATTTTTTAGGAATTCTTTTAATTTCATATTCAATTTCATTTTTATTTATCATACTTGTTTATGAATTAAATTTTAACTAGTATTTTAGCTTGTCCAAGTACATCCATTTTTATTATATACAATTAAAATTTATAATAAATTATATGTTTAAATAAATATAATATTTGAATATATAAATTATATTTAAAATTAATATACATAATATTTTAAAATATACAAATTATATTTTATCTTTATGATAAATAATTTATATTGTAACAAAAACTTATTTTATTTAAAATATTAATATTATTAAATCTTATATATTAAACACGAATTTCTAATATCTTGAGAAAATTTGTAAGAATTTTTTTTAACTTATTATCTAATTTGATTTTTATTTATCATGATCATTTATTAATTAAATATTAGTATTTAAAATAAATTATTAATAAATAACATAATCTTTTATAATATAAATTATTTATCATAAATTTAAAATATAATTTATACATTTGTAAAATATTTATATATATTAATTTTAAATAGTATTTATATATATATATATATATATATATAACTTATTATA